CAATTGGAGTGATTAAACTGGAAGACATTTGTGGAATATATATTATTTTATTATTAATGTAGTAGATAAAACATAATCTGCTTGGTGTAGTACCGTGAGACAAACATTCAGTACATAATGCATATATCTTGTATGTGATATGGAGCCATGAGCCATGTGTATATTGAAAATTAGACTGATTAGATACCAAACAAGTAATAACTATTTTATTTTTTTAAACAGCAGAAGGTTTTTAAATTATTGCAGTAAACTAACTACATTTTCCCGTATGGGCTCTTCTTTGAAGAATCTCATATGATTAAAAAAAGGAGAGAGAAAAAAATTGAACTCGCAAGAAACCAAAAGTACTGACAGTGTTGGCTATTTTTAGATGAGAATAACTCTCCTTTACAGGGTTGTTAATGAATCTGAATCTATCTCATGTCCACTCTATTCAGTTGAATAGTAAATATTTAATAACCTCCATATGAATAAGCACTAGTTGCTGTAACACTAGAAGCTTATTTCCTGTTCATGTAAAGTCCAAAGGGTGGTTAGGGTTGGCATCAAGGTGGGTTGGCAAACAGTACAGGACTATGCAGAGGGTTTTCATAGGTAAGGCCTGGAAGTGGCAACTATTACACCTGCTGACATCTCACTGGCCAGAACTCAGGCACATGGTCATGCATAGCTGTAAGAGAGTCTGGGAAAGATCTGGTGGTAACAACATGTCACAAACATGTATTGTGTGAAAGCACCATTCCAGGTGCTGGAGATCTGTTATCAGTCCATATCTTCTTTTCTTCCTTCCTTCATTCTGTGCCCAGTCTGAGACTACCATTCATGAGCCTCACTCTGAGAACTCTGCAGCTTTGTAGCAGATGCAACTTTGGAAAGCAGAGAAGAGGAGAACTGCTCTTATTAAGGCAGATAAAACAGTAAGGCACAGTGTATTTGGCAGATGTAGATTATTTAAGGTGGTTAATACCTTTATGAGCATTAAAAGTCATAGAAAAAATAATGGTTCATTATAAGCCATTTTTTAGAACAAAAACAAATGGGCTTTATTATCAGTAAGGATTTGTATTTCAGATCACGAACTTTGGATTAGAATTATTTATCAAGAGTTTATAGGAATCGGCTGTGTGCGGTGGCTCAAGCCTGCAATTCCAGCACTTTGGGAGGCCGGGGCAGGCAGATGGCTTGAGCCCAGGATTTTGAGACCATCCTGGGCAACCTGGAAAAACCCTGTCTCTACTAAAAATACAAAAATTAGCCGGGTGTGATGATGCAGTTCTCAAGTTCATGGAGAGTAGGCCAGACCTGGTTGAATGGCTGAGAACACCATAAAAACAGACCTTTGACCAAGTACCCTGAGACTAGGATCCACTGAAAAGCTATTTTCACCAAATGAATTGTTATAACAATTTAAAGCATGTCTTTATTTTATAACTCTACTTCAAGATAAATCAGCTTTGTAAGGATATGTTAGCTGGGTTTGGTGGCTCAGCTACATGGGAGGCTAAGATGGGAGGATTAATTGAGCCCTGGAGATGGAGGTTGCAGTGAGCTGAGATGGCACCACTGTACTCCAGCCTTGATGACAGAGTGAGACTCTGTCTAAAAAAAAAAAAAAAAAAAAAGTAAAATAAAGAGTTTATAAAAATGTTAAAGCCTAGATCAGATAATATTTTATTGCATGATTTAATTGTAATTCTAAGGACAAATGTGATATCTTTACTCTAATTATTAAATTCAGAAAATTCCATTTGCTTTGCATCATTATGACTAATTAATGTGGTGGCTTCCACATCATTCTCAGCAAACTAACACAGGAACAGAAAATAAAATACCTCATGTTCTCGCTCATAAGTGGGAGTTGAAAAATGAGAACACATGGACACAGGGAGGGGAACATCACACACCAGGGCCTGTTGAGGGGTGGGGGGCAAGGTGGGGGAGAGCCTTAGGACAAATACCTAATGCATGCAGGGCTTAAAACCTAGATGACAGGTTGATGAGTGTAGCAAACCACCATGACACATGTATACCTATGTAACAAACCTGCACGTTCTGTACTTATATCCTAGAACTTAAAGTAAAAAAAAAAAAGAGAGAGTGAGACAATTTAAAAAATACATGGTGGCTTCCAAATCTGGGAGGCTTGTTAAAATGCAAATTTTTAGAACCCACTGTAAAGATTTCAATTCAATAGTTCTTGGGTAGGCTTCAGAAATCTGTATTTTTAAGAAGTTATCTTATATTATTCTTCAGAACCAGTAGAGATCAGCTTTGGGAACCATGGCTTTATGGTACAGTTGCAATTTGGTTGTCATAGTAGAATGGTAACAATATGGTGTGATTTATAATAAATAGTAAATGCTAGTTTAGAGTGGAGGGAAGGCAGACATTAAGAGAGGATCCAAGAGATGAGTGATAAAATTAGGGGATCTCAAAGTCCTGAATTTTCTATAAGACTGTGGCATAAGTGGCAATTCCCAAGAAGACTCGCCCAAGATTCCCATTCTCACTAAGGACTGTGGCAGTTGACATACTTCCAGGAGTGTGCAATCTTAGTGTTTCTGTCAGAGAAGGGGCCAGCTATGTGTGTGCTGATCTCAGGCTCATTGGCACACTTAAGGAGAAAATGACAGGTCTTGATGAAAACCTCTTTTTATTCTCATCCTTAAGATACAAAGAAAAGTTCCTAATAGAATGGAGAAAACAACATCAAAGGAAACCAGGAAGCATTAGACTTCAACAAATGTGCAAATATTGAAACCTATGATAGCAGGATAGAGTAATGAGTTAACATTTATTTAGTCCTTATTGAATGCTGGTTTCTGGGCTAAGCACTTAACACAATTATTTTACTTACTTGATCAATCCATAAAAACTCTATGGAGTAGGTATTTCTATTTTGCAGAGGAGAAAATGGAGGTGCAGAGAATCTAAATAACAGGCTAAAAGTTATGTAGCTAATAGGTGACAGTGTCTGCATCTGAAGACAAGCTGATTACAGAGTCTGTGCTGTTAACCTCTGTTTGTGTTGCAGAGAAAGGGGAGCAATCACGTGACTGGAGCTGTGCCTCTCCCACGTTTAGCACCATCATCAGTGCTAACACATAGGACTTGCTCTAAGCCAGGCACTAATCTGTGTTCTCTCTCCATTAACTCACTCTCAGAACTACATAGCAAGAGAAGTGCTGTTATTATCTCATTTTACAGATAAGGCAGGGGGAGGTTAGGTGACCGGCCAGGTCATGAACCATATAGGTGGCAGAGGTTTGACACGTATCTTGCAAGTTGGGTTCTAGAAGCCACACTCTTATCTTTGATGCTATACTAGCCTCTCATACAGAAGAATTATCCATTTCAAAGTACTTATATAAGGATTGTGTCTATTAATAAAAGACAACAGGTTTTGATTACCACCCTTCAGTGTCTCTGCTTCATTTAGTGGAAGATATACTTCTTTCACATTCATAGCTTTACCCATCCCTTTCATTGAATATAATGTTTTAAAAAACTCATTGATTTGTTATGCCTTTACAATCCTTTTCATACTGTTTCCTGCTGTGAAAAAATCATTGAACTCTCTATTACAGTTAGTGGATTAATATGCTCTAAACTATTCTTTAAGACACCCTTCTGAGAATCAGCACTGATTACAAGTTCAAAGAAAAAGTTTCTTTGAGAGCCTTGACAAAATAATTTTATTAGAATCTGACCTTGTATTATGCTGGATTAGCTGTGTTGCTTTTATATGTTTCAAGTACATGGCCTCCTGCATTTGTGTTCAGGCAGAAGTCAGTCAAGGTTGGGAAAAGAATGCAATGAAGTACGTAGATAACTCAAATGCCTGAAATGGTGCTTGATAACAGCTCCTGTCTCTCAGGGATCCTTATCTCTGACCCTTTACTTTTCATGGAGAGTAGACTGGACCTGGTTGAGTGGCTGAGGACACCATAAGAACAGACCTTTGAACAAATACCCTGGGACCAGGATCTACCAAAAAGTCTATTTTCACCAAATAAATTATTATAACAATTCAAAGCATGTCTTTATTTTAGAATGCTATTACAGTATGAATCAGCTTTATAAGGAAGATCCAAGCCTGTATTCCTATTTGAACACAGGAAGACAGACTGTGGCAATAAGACAGACTGTGACTCACCCAAACACAATGTTCCCCTTAATCCCCTTGGCTGGCTCTGGCCTCTGTGGGCTACCCCTTGGTGGTATGGATGGGTTAACTGCTGTCTGTCTCTTGCCTTTTAAACTCCAAAGTTAGATGGAGTTTCAATTTTTACTGTGACTCTTTGAAGTCTACCCTGCTCAGCCTAGTTTAAAAAGCACCCTGTATAAACAATTACCCATAATCCTGGTTGCTTAAAATCATGCTCTCGATTTCCATTTTCCCACTGAACTTATCACATTATACGACTAGATAATTAATTAATTACATTTAGTGTTCCTCTCTCCAACTAGAATAAGTGCAGAAATCTTTTATTTGTTCATTAAAACATTCTAAACATCTAATACATATGCAGTAAGTGGTCAATAAACAGTAAATGAGGCCAGGCACAGTGGCTCATGCCTGTAATCCCAGCACTTTGGAGGCCCAGGCAGGTGGATCACCTGAGGTCGGGAGTTTGAGACCAGCTTGATTAACATGAGAAACCCCGTCTTCTGAAAATACAAAATTAGCTGGGCATGGTGGTGCATGCCTGTAATCCCAGCTACCTGGGAGGCTGAGGCAGGAAAATTGCTTGAACCCAGGAGGCGGAGGTCGTGGTGAGCCAAGATTGCATCATTGAACTCCAGCCTGGGCAACAAGAGCGAAACTCCTCTCAAAAAAAAAAGTAGTAAATGAATGTTTCTGATTAAAATCAAACTTTGTTCAAGTCTGAAAGCAAACTATGTAGCTGGTTTGGGAAATAGAAGTATACTCTTTAAAATATTTTTTCCCTCAACGTTTGAAATAAGTAGGTATAGTATAAAAAATGTCCATGCCTTACCTTGAAAACCATTTTTAAAATCTGCTCCATTTGGTAAGAGATCTGGAGTATATTCACTGTAGCCACCTACATAAAACTGACTGAAGACATTGAGACCAACCAGTCTTCCTGGGGCGATAATGGATTTATTTTTATGATCATCTACCTTCAAAAGGAGAAAAAAATCAAAACCTATTTAAAAAGGAATTAATTCCCCAGGGAGAACTGTTAAGATACTCTTTTATTATTTCCCATTAACTTGGCATAAAAAATTTACAAAGACGGGGATTTTGAAGAAATATAAAACACGATACCACTCAATTCTCTGCTTCTCTGCTGGTGTCTGTTACCACGGATATATTAATAGAGCAATCATGGTTTTGCATTTCAATCAAAATCAAAGTTCTTCAAAGATTAGGTGCTGGCATCCTGCTGATTCCCCTCCATTTAGCCTTCCTTCTCTTCTATCAATTCTCCATAGAACCACCAGAGTCATTTATCAAAAATTAGAAATCAACATGGTACCCACCTTCCTGTTTTAAGTAGCTCATCATAGTTCTTTTGATAAAAATATAAACTTCTTAGCACATCTAAGCCCTTTGATAATATAGACCTTATCTGTCTCTAACCACTTCTCTTGCTCCCCCATCTCCTGACCTCAAAACCACGCTGAACTACTTGCATTCTTTAAGCTAATACTGACCATTCCTTAATTTAATACTGACCATTGTGTTCTTTCCTAACTCCTATTTGAAGTTATGCTCAAGCATCACCTTCTCTGGGAAGCACTTTCTGACTCCTCTCTCTCACCCTTATCTATGTTAGTAATCCCTCTTATCTGTTCTTACACCACTTAATTGTAATCATCTCTCTATTTCCCTAGTTGGTACAATAGTCTGTGAATTTCGTGGATGCAGGCATCATGGGCTATTCACCTCTGTACCTTAGCACAGATCCAACAATATACTAGTGCTCACTTTGTGGAAGAGACAAAGGAATGACTCTTTACCTTCAGCCAGCCCTCTTGGAAGAACTTCCCCAGATGAACAGTGTGGACTCCAAGGCTCAGATTGAGGGGATCACTCCTGATGCTTGCTATGCCAGACCCCAGGTTATAACTATAAACCACACTGCCATTGAGCAGGCCCACAGCCAGGAAGTCATCGCCATTCAACCCTGGAATGAGAGGACACATGGGGAAAGCTCACTGAGAGGAAATTCAGGAGTTCCGTCAGCTTTATTCTACTGACTGGTTCTGAATTACAGATCAGTATGGTAAGTTATAATACGTATTTAGTCTCTTGTCAGCATTTAGGTACATGTGCAACTGGCTGTTGTTATTCCCAGCCCCAGAAACAGAGCACCAAGAGTTTATGTCTTTGAAGCCATGAGGGTTCTGGTCAACCTGGGGAATGATCAATGATCACCTAAAAAGCTGAATGGGATTAAAATCTCCTTTTGTCAGATTGAAATTCAGTATGCACTTTACAATAAGGAGAACTTCACAACGGAGTAGAACTGCTCTGGTAGCTAAGAAGATTCAAAAGGCTGAGATGACCTAGCGTCAGCTTTCAAGTTCTTTCTATGATTTGAGAATAGTATAAAGATCAATTTATTCCTATCATTGCTCAGAATATGTTATCATTATTCTATTACAAAAGCTCTTAACCATGCCCCATGACCATTTAAAGGTGGGTTGTTTCTGTGTTCCCTCTTCTCTCTCTCCTTGCATTAGTTCAGAGCCATTCATGCAATACAGTGAGTTACAGGACCCAGAGCACTCAGGAGACAGTTCTTAAAGACCCACAGGACAAGGGAAGTGGTTGGGAGAGACCCAGCATTAATCACTTAGGGGAAGATGCTAGCAGTATCCTTGGTGGGATTAAGAAGTCTATATGATCAGTTGGTATATAGCAAGAGATCTGTTCACAGGAAGCAGGGACCCAAATACGTCACTGAGCTTCTGAAAGGTATGTTAGTGGGTGGGGCAAAAGAATAATTCAATACTGAGGCTAGCAGTCAGGAAACTGAGGCAAAGACTTCTGCTTAGAGGAAGGACATAAGAACCCCCTAGATGTAAGAGGTTTAAGCATGGGGGAAAAAGTTGAATTGCGTCCTTGACATAGAAAAAATTTATTATGAGTATACACAGACTCCTCCATCTGCATTTATAGGAATGATGCTTTGTCTGTTGACTGGGCTTCTATTGTTACTTTGATCAGAGTAAAGGAGAGAAAGATCTGCAGGGATGTAGGTTTCCAGACAGGGTGGAGAGGTGGGCTTCCTGAGGCAATGGAAAGTGGAAGACAGAGATATTATTTAGAGATACTTGAACGCTGCCTCTGCTTTTCTAAAGGTTCTGCCATGGGCCCTGAGCGGAGTTACTTTTGAAAACTCTCTAGGTGAGTCTAATATACAGTCATGGTCAAGAGTAACTGTATTAAGTGGCCTACCATTGACCAAGTACATTGGGAACTTAAGGCAAGTCTCTTTCTTACTTCCTCTCATTCTGGTGATTTCTTCCCACCTGCAATGCTGCATCAGGTTAGCTGGGTTGTATATTTAAAATGGAAAGTTCAATGTTTCCGGAGAAAACGTAGATTCAGGAAGGCAGTTAGAAAGGCAGAAAGGAGAAAAACTACTACTAGAGTTTGGAGATAGTCTTTCAGGCAGCTGTTGGGATATAGAAGAAATTCGGAGGGGTGGAGGAGAAAACATGAGATTTTTCTGTGGGTTGCGAATGGAAATTTTTCTCAGAGCTTCTGAAGGGGATTTGAATTGTCTTTCAAATTGTCCAGGTTATTGCAATGGAGCCAGTATTGTGCCAGTTGAACTGTAAGGTAGTGGGAGGGCGTATTGATTTCAGCTATATCCTTCTTTCCTTTCTGTCTTGTGCTCTCCTTGAGAGCCCATTTCATGCCAGGAGCATCATTATTATCCTTAGGTCCTTGACGGCCTGGTGAGGAGGAGATAGGAGGTTTGTTTCAAGTTCCATGAAGAGCAGAGTAGAAACAAATGAGAGCAGTCATTAAGACAAGGTGAGGAGGAGGGTTAGGAAAGCAAAAAGGCGATTTTTCAGTTTGTTTCTGAGCTCACCCAGAAAAGGACAACCAAGAGCTTGTTAGATGAAAAAAGAGGATACAGTGAAGAGTGCTGTTTAAATCAGAAGGGAGAACTTTGCAGCAACCCAGGAGGAACAGAGAAGAACAGGGTGTATTTAAGAACTGCTGGGGTTGGGTGCAGTGGCTCACGCCTGTAATCCCAGCACTTTGGGAGGCTCAGGTGGGCAGATCACGAGGTGAGGAGATCGAGACCATCTTGGCCATCCTGGCTAACACGGTTAAATCCCGTCTCTACTAAAAATACAAAAACAAAATTAGCCGGGCGTGGTGGTGCATGCCTGTAGTCCCAGCTACTCGGGAGGCCGAGTTAGGAAAATGGTGTGAACCCGCGAGGTGGAGCTTGCAGTGGGCCGAGTTCGTGCCACTGCACTCCAGCTTGAGCGACAGAGCGAGATACCATCTAAAAAAAAAAAATGAAGAAGAAGAAGAACTGCTGGGATGTGGGCTTGACTGGCATTTACTGCCTGTGGCAGGAAAGGAAACTGAAAAAGGAGAAAGGGCTATATCTTTAAGGGCCTAATATGCTACAATGAATTATTTAAGTATTTTACCGGAGACTCTTAGGAATCATGAAAGGATATTGAATAAGAGAAGTGTATTAGATCTGGATGTTAGAAGAATCTCCTAGTAATGTTGAAGATAGAATATAGAGATAGATAAGGAGGCTCACTGGAATGTCATTCAAGTGATTCAGAAGAGGAAATGATACTGAAATACATTAAACACCTAAATAAATTAAAGTAGTGGCAGAGGGGACAGAAAAAGGGGGAGGAAATTTGCTTGTGATTTGGAAGGAAAATTTGAAAGGACAGATCAATTTGGGTGAAGAGTTGAGGAAGAGAGAGGAGTTGAGGGTGGTTCTGCAGAATCTGGCTTAAAGAACAGGTTCAGTGGCAGGGTCAGTCATGGAGTTAGGAGCCTGGGAAAGGAACAGTTGGGGGGAAAAGGCTGAATTTAATTTACAGGTGCTCCTGCCTATAGACCTGTCCCAGGGCAAAGGACTGTGGATGCACCAAGAGGAGGGGATAAGGAGAGCCAGGGAACTAATCACCCATCAAGCAGATGACAGCATCCTATTCCCATGCCATGAGTCCATCAGGTTGCTTTCCTTTCCTCTGCTACTCCTTCCACTCTAGACCTTCCCTGAGTATCAACTCTGGTAGTAAATGATGGAGTAGATAAGAGGAAGAAAAGTAGTTTACTGCCATGGCCAGTACCTAGAAAGTGACTTGGAAGTGCTCTAGAGTGTTTCCAAACCGAGAAGTTCTTTACAATCACTTAGGGAATGTTTCAAAAATACACTCTCTGGAACCTGTCTTATACCACTTGCATGAGAGTCTTTGAAGCTAGATCCTAGAAATATTTTATTAACAGGATCCCCAACGGGTTTTTTTTTTTTTTTTTTTTTGTAATAAGGCCAGATTGGTATTAGTACCTGTAAGAGGGCCAAGGCATGAAACTTGTGCGGTTGAATGGGGCTTTAAGTTCCAAAGCACCCTGTTGCTTGGTTTAATGCTCTGTGTCACTGTCTTGAAATTCTTAATACTTTTATCTTTGAACTGTGTTTTGAAAGTGAAGTCCATGAAGCAACAAACATGAGTGGTAACAGAGGAGACCCATAAATACAATATGCATGTTTGCTCTTTCACATGTAAGGCTTGTGATATCCCATGAGAACAATGTTTCCACAGTACTGGGAGTTCAGTGATATGCAAAATGAGTACATGCTAAATATATTATGTTTAATGACTAAGTGGGGGATCTGACAGTCCCAAGAGGCCATGCTCCGTTTGGGCCAGAACTTACTTCAAGTGCAGGAAGAAGGGAGTGGTGGTCTAAGAAACATGAACCATCAAGGAACTCTATTATTTCATCATTATTCCTGCTACTTTTCTGTATTAGCTAATTATTTACACTGAAAATGATGACAGAGAAGAAAAGAGAAAGAGAAAGAAGTCCACAATTCCTTTTCCTCTCACTCCTACCTAACTCATCAGTAGCCAAAGGTCGAGAGTGTTGATAGTGTGCATATCAACAACTGAAATAAAGAGAGTTAACTTAAATTTGTGTAGTGTCTCTGGTGTTCTGTTAATAAGGAAGTACATATGCATGCACAAGCTTTGAAAGATAAATTGTGTAATTTTGGTGATTTTGCATGTGTGTTAAATACTTTTCTATTTTAAACTGGCATTGCAGAATAAAAAGGCAAACTCCCTTGTTCAAAAAGCAGGGAGAAATGAGAGAAATGAGAACCACCCTCAACTCCTCTCTCTTCCTCAACTTTTCACCCAAATTGATCTGTCCTTTCAAATTTTCCTTCCAAATCACAATATTTTCTATTTTAAAGTGGCATTGAACAATATAAAAAGAATGGTAAAATTTAATATTTTAATTTTTTAACTTAGAATGGCATAAATGCAAATAAAAGACATTGTGTTGTCTTTCTAAGTTAAGATTAGTCATTCTAAGCTTATTCTTACTCATTCTAAGTCACTATAATGTTGAGAGATCAGTGAAGACAGAAAAATGCTTTATATTTTAGTATCTTTAATGGCATTTCTCCCTGCTTTTTGAACAAGGGAGTATGCCTTTTTATTCTACAATGGGTCCCACAAATTATGTAGCTGTCTTTCCTTGGTGTCATCATAACACAAATCAGGAAAGAACAAAATGAAAATGAGACCTTCCTGAACATTTGAGGCCACTTAGAGCCTTTGTATGTAGATGAGACACTGAAACCTGTCAGGGCAGTATGTGTGGGGTGATGCTGATGCACACATGGATGTCTGAAAGCGACGTGGCTGCTAGGTGGTGGAGTCTGAGTCTGAAGACAGCCTGGTTCCAGAGCCTGTACTCTTAAACACTGTCCATGTCCATGCAGCAGAGAAGGAGAAGCAAGTCTGACTGGGGTTGTGCCCCTCTCTCACACCTTCAGCACCCCCTTCCCAAATGCTTCTTTCTGGAAAACAAGAAGGGATGATAATATCTCTTCAGATTATTCTAAGGATTAAGTGAGATTTAATGTGTAAGCATTAGTCCACTGGCCAACCTAGC